AAACAATGCACATTTTTTTGTATTACATCTTTTTTCTTTTTGGTTAAATTAGATTCAGACTTTTTTTAGAAAGTTAGTACTAATACCTATCTGTATATTTAACATAAAAAAAAGCTTTTAAAAATAGAAGAAAATTATGTGTTGGTCTGGGTAATGGAGCGGCAACATCACTTGGATGAAAAGAAAGAAAAACCAATTTCACTAAAAATTAGAGCAGAATGGATTAATGAATGATAGTATTAGTATTGATACTAAAAATGTGTTGCACAAAAATTAAAAAAGATAGCAAATATATCATCATCAATGCATATTTTAATTCCTATTTGCGTAACACAGTCATTTTTAGGTTGACGTCTCAAAGGAAGGTGTTGACGGCCGAAGATTTTTTGCCACTTATCGTAAACAACTTTGTTTAGAATATATTTGCATTCCCTATAACAGATTCAAAAATTTATTTATTTAGTAAAATTATATTATTGCTACAGTGAACCCTCTATAAGTGCACCCCCTCGGGAACATAGTGCTATTTCTTGCGAGCGTGCATTTATGGAGGGTATGCATTTATGGAGGGTGATTTTATAAGCTCTCTATAAGCTTGGGGATGAGATGGGCCGTGCATTTATGGAGGGTATACATAGTGCGTGCATTTAGGGAGGGTGCACTTAGGGAGGGTTCACTGTAGCAATAATTATAATATTTGGATTTTATTTTTATAAATATCAATAAATACAAATCAATAAAATACAAATCAATAAAATACAAATCAATAAATACAAATATTAAATATATATTTCAAAATTTATTTTATTATTAAAATTATAATTTTGTTCTCGGGATTATGAAAATATTATAAAAACTTACCAAAAGGTGGCCACCTGCCAGCTAACAATGACAATTCTTTTCGATAAACTGGAAGAATTGCCAAGAAACCAGTAAAAAGAAAGAAAACGATAGTCGAACAAAATTTAGAACAGGAAAGGGAAAATTTAAAAATTCATAAAAATGAATGTTAGCCGGGGATCAAATCCGGTGATCAAAAAGATCAGAGAAGTGGGATTAAAAGGAATTCAAAAGGGTATCGGTCCACAGTTCTACTCTTACTGGGAGAAAAGAGAACTGACAAGAGAAAAGCAGGATCGAAAGAACTATAAAAAAATTTTTTATAAAAAAAACGATGAAAAATGTGAACAATATAACAAACAATATAACAATAAACAAACAATATAAAAAAAACTTAGCGAATTTCCAAGGGAAAAGCCTTTCGACTAAAGAAATAAGCAAGTACATAAATTATTATTAATAAAATAAAAAATAAAGAAAATGACAACAAAATAATAATAAAATAATTCCGAGAACATTTCAAAATTAAAGGAAAGAGGGAAAAATTTTATGAGAAAATAATAATAATAATAATAATAACAATATTCCAATAAAAGGAGGCTATATATATGAACGCGAATATATATACCGATCGGCAGAAATTATTATTAATTAATTTTTTTAACTAGAAAAGTATCAGCCAGATTGAAATTGAATAAAACCAGTACAACCAAGTCAATGCCAAAGTGAAAATAAGATTTTAAGCTTAGCATGAATTTATATCTTTGGATTGATTACAGGAATAAAATAAGTTTATTTTGTATCACTAAAATTTAGTCCTCTGAAATTTCTTGTCTCTATTTTTATTAATTATAATATAAAATTATCGTTATTTTATAATAAAATGAAATTGATAGAGGGAGTATATATATAAATTGTAGCTTTCATATTTATAATCTAAATTAATAATAATAATAATATAGCTTATGATGATGATAATAGAATCCTTACTGTCATCAGATCTAAATTATAAAAAAATTTCTATTAGCACAAAAAATATAACCATCCACCAGGCAGAGATTTAATACCAAGCACAATGTTACAAATTCATGAGTTTAAAATAGCGAAAGCAAAAAATGGCCAAACGAAAAATAATTGCACAACGATTAAAATTCCTATAAAATAATAAAAATAATTTTAAACATATTATTATTTAATAAAATTAATTTAAAAAAAAAAAATACTCACCCAATCCACATCTACATCCAATGCCCACTGGAACTTTTCATGGAGGCTCTTGTTGAAAATTTTAGTGATTGGCACATCATATTTTTTGCACCATGCAACAGAGATCTGTGGGTCTATATAATGAATCTTTGATGTGCCTAACGCAGTTGTCTTGTTGTCCTCTTTATCTTGTTTTAATAACTTGGTGGTTTTAATACATTCTGTCAAATTTTCTATTTGTATCCGGAGTTTTTCACTTGTTTGTCCTTTCCTTGGATTGGCCTTTGCAGATTTTTGTTCATCAATGTTTTTTAATAATTGTTCAAGATGCTCATCAGGTTTAGGTGACTTTCCTTCTTCTGTAAGCTTTTCATTATCTCTTTCAAATTTTTTTACAACTGCCAAACGTTCCCTTTCCATCAATTGCTTCTCATGCTCAATTATCCATTCCTCTTCCATGTCTGATTCTGGTTCAAATAGTTGAGGCTTGCTCTTTTTTAATTCAGAGTCAAGATTCAACAATTCCATTTTACATCTATTTCTTTGGTATTTCAAAGCATGAACCTAACATATTAAAGAATATATACATGTGAATTTATTTAAGAAATTAACAATAATCATGATAAAAAAAAAAATACCTTATTGTCAATTCTATTGATTTGATTATCATGATCTTTGCTGATGGAATGTTGATGGTTACATAAAATAGCAACCTGCCTGTTTGCTTTATTATATGCTGCTATTTTCTCTATTACAGTAGTAGCATTCTCCATCCCTTTCTTTAGCTCAATTTGGAAGGTACAAGATGCATTGTATGTATGAAATACTTTGATGGTTAGTCCTTCCATGTATTCAGACAAATGTTTATTCAAATCTTGAGCCTAAATGAATTTTTAAAGAAAATTTGAATTTATTAATAGAACAAACACAAACACACACACATATATGTGATTGATTAAATTTAAATCTTGTATTTTTGTACCGTTAATCTGTCAAATAACTCTTCACTGGATTCCTTATCCTTCATAAATATTCTAAGGTTTTTGAAAACTTGATCTATTACTTCTACTGAGTTTACATATCTTACTGAATTTTTACCTAAGAAATCAAACTCAACTGTCCTTGGTGACACCAAAGTAATATGTTCACATCTGAGGGAACAACAACCCACAGTATCTGCTTTTTTGCCAGTTTTCTTATTTCATGCTCTTAATGCAAGCTTGTCAATAAGATACAGGGCAGTAGCACGTTGACGAACTGACCCGAACCTATCTCTCAAATCCTGCATGTAATCATGTCGAATTTTTTCTAGGTGCTTATCAAGCTCCCTAGCCTTATCAAATTTTTTCATGTCATTTTGACCGATTTTCGGTCTTTTTTCTCTAATATATTGGTTAAATGTATTAACGAAATTAGAGTAACGATAAGTGGCGGGCGATAACCACCACCATCCTTAAAACACTTACTCATATGTGTCTTTGGTTTCAGCTTCTCTGCTTCTTTTATTGGCATTTTTTTGAAATGACATTTTAAAAAATATTTTTAAAAAGAAGTTTGTTATTTGGTCGACGCGTACACATTAATTATTTATCCAATTGGTTTTTTTTTTTGGTAGGACAGACGCGAATTGATTTTTTTTTTTTTTTGGAAAAACAAAAAACAATTTATTTTTTGACAGAGTTCAAGGTGACAAAACGTGAGTGTTGTTTGGTTTGGTTTGGGTCTCCTAAAGAATACGTGTAAATAACTAACCAGAGGTACTTTTTTTTACTTGTATTGATATGTATGAGGTGTCTTTTATTATAGTTTATAAATATTTTAATTGGAATTCAAAACGCTGGGTAATTACAAGATTTTCATTGATAATATTTTGCTTTTCGTAATCAATAATAATACTATTATTAATATATAATTACAAGATGTCAAGGCAGCATTGACTGTTGAAAAAGAAACAATTCAAATATGCGATGTTTGATTATCGGAAATTGGCAGGCGTTGAAGCACGCACGCTACCTTGAACACTTTACAGTCATTCTCATACGTTCCTCGTGTACATAAGGCTAATCTGACCTGCTCCCTCTGATGATACAATGATGCAACTGAACTTGAGGGGGAGGGGGCATGGCCCTGGAGTTTACCAAGACATCAATCGTCAATGACATTTTCACTAATCTTCCCAGACCATATAAGGCTAGCCGAAAAGTCGCCTGCAACGATCCCACCTCTAGGGCAAGGATGGCTCTGTGACCAAGCTGTCGCAACTCTGCTGATGAATTGTAGTGCCAACTGAATTTGTTATTTTAGTAAATGGGGTAGGATTATTGATGAGTTGGCATGCCACTGACAAGACAGCAACCCAAGGCTCAAAACTGAAATCAGGGAAAATCTAAAACAACAACCTTTCTGCATTGGAGAATTTTTAACACAAAGCAATCACTGACTTTGTACTGGAGATGTGTAACACAAAGCAATCATCACACAAATGCCAGCTATCAGCAATCAATGCCCATATGATAACAGCCAAGCCTGGTCTGAGGAGAAGATAAGTATGTTTTGTCCAAAGCCTTCTAACATGTGTGCGGCGCACCTGTGGAGAAAATTCCACAGTTATGGGGCATGTGAAAGCATGGTTATTGCATGTTTGTGACAGGAAAGCTTTAATTAAATCTGACACATGCAATCAACATCAGATTTATTATTCATGAGCAACCATAATTGATAATCAGGAAAAGT